GCGCCGCGCAGGCGCGTTGCTCCCGCCCCGCCGCCGCTTCCCGGGTCCTAGCGCCGGCCGCGCTCCGAAGGCGCCGTGGCCGTCTCCCGCCGCCGCCCCGACCTCCTCGGTTCCTCGGCCGCCACGTCGCGTACTTCTTACCCGTGCCGGGACAGGGCTCCCTGCTCCGGTACCCTCGGCTGGAGGAAGAGCGCCCTCACCCGCCGCTTACGTCCCGAGTAACCGGTCTCTCTCTCAGCGGCGCGATGGTCGCGCTGAGGATCCCCTTCGGGAAGCGTTGGGTTTTCTGGTGCTGCTGCCCCGCACTCGGCTCTGAGCGATCCCCTCTAGCGCTATTGAAGTAAGTCATTGCTGTTCTCGTCCTTCGTGGGCTGGACCCACTGAGGGGCAAAGAGGCAAAATTCAAGATCTCCCCAGGCATAAATTTCTCACACCATGCGCAGGGATGCCCGGGGTTTGCATTTCCTGCTGCATTGCACCTTTACGTGGTCCCCCACACCTGCTCCATTTCGCTATCTTTTCTTCTATTTTTTCTACTGTTCACTTGTTTCTTCCCTAAAGCCTGGGTTGGCAGGAGGCTGCGATTTGGGCTCATGTTGTTTATTCTTTTTTATTCTCATTAATTGGCAAAGAATGACAAGGGAAGTTTCACATCTGCAAAAAGAACCGTTCCTGCCCTGTGAGGAGCTTGAAGAACAGCAGGGAGATGGTTGTGTAGAAGGGAAGTAACAGAGGTATGTAGACGTGTTCCATGTTTTGTTTTATTTGCTGCCAGTATCTCAGGAGGAGTGGGCTTATGAGAGAGCCTGAAAAGCTGAGCTGAATCATGGGAGGTCGTGTCATGATGGGTGGTTGAGGTGGAGAAACATATGATTGAAGGGTATATGGTTGAGGAATGCTGCTGGAGTGCAGCAGTGGTAGGGACAACAGGATGCTCAACAGAAGACGGTAGACTGGGGGAATGCAGTTAGGTTGAGTCTTGAAGGAGGCCGGAGACAGGGATGTGCTGGAACAGCAGGTGAAGAACAATGGAGGGCTGCCAAGGAGCGAGTGCTGTGGTCAGGTTTGTGCGAGGAAGTGTTTGGCCATCCACAGCTTCCTTGGGTTGCAAAGGAGCATTGCATATGTTTGGGATGCCAAGAAGAGAACTCTGCAATAGTTGTGGTGGGATATACCAAAGAGGCCTAAACAGGAGATTTCCCTGTGAAAATGATAACAGATTGGCCTTGAAGCTGGTGGGGTAGAAGGAAGGCCCGGGAGCTGGGTGCTATTTGTGCATGACTTGTGGGAAAAGGGAGGGAAGATAGTGGAAATGGGGAGTATGTTACTGCTATCAGCAGTGAAAGAGAAAAGGGGAAGTGAGGCTAAACCAAGGCAACCTGGCACTTCAGCTAGCATAAACTGATGACAAAATCTCCAGGAAGAGATGCCAGACAGCCACTTGAGCATTGGGATTGAATAGAGGGAGAAAGGTTGATGACAGAGGGAGAAATCTGAGAATCGCAAGCACAGAAATGCTACCTAAAATCCTTAAGAATTGCCAGACAGAGGGCACAAAGGGAGAAGAGCGCAGGTCTGTGAACCCAAGCCTGGCATTAAGAAAGGAAAAGAGGATGATGACTCATTGACAGAAATGATATAGGTGACAATTATTTTGTAATCATAGTAAGTCACTACTTTTGATAATAATAGATCTGGGGATCAATGGGAAAGCACCGTAGGGTAGTTTCTGAAAGTTATGGAGGCTGAGGAAGGTAGGTGACCCAGGAACAAGGTTTAAGGACCTGTGAATCCTAGGCCAGTGGGTTCTTCTGGTCACATCCACAACTGTAGACGCTCTTTCGTAGCTCATTAGCTCCTACCTTCCATGTTACCTTACACCACATCAGTGATTCCTCTTTAGGAATTTCAGTGTTGAGATCTAAGGTGACTGTGGGGATGAAAGGGATATCTTGCAGCTTCTGTCACTTCAGTTTCCCTTCTTGTCTGGACATCTGCAGGAGAGTGGTACAGGACCTTAGAAGTCATCTGAAAGTATATGTTAAAAAACAGAAAGCTTGTTTAAAGATAGTTTTCACGAACTCAGGTAGGGAGGCCATACTTAAGTGACCTGCAAGGTTTCTTTGAAGATACTAAGGGTTTAATTGATAAAGGAGTGTTGGTAGACGTGGAAGAGTTGGATATTTTGAAAGATATGCGAGAGGGCCCCAAATCAGAGATTGATGGACAGGGGGGAGCTGTGAGATCTGGAGCGAGATAGTTGCTGAAATGGGAAGCTCTCTTAGAAATATAAATTGGAAAATGAAGTTTATACTTTATTTTGATGTGAAAAATGAAAAAGAACATCACATTTGAAACTTATATTGAAGTTTGAGAGGGAAAGTATTAGAAAATAATATCTTTTTTAAACAAGGATCGTGGCAAAAAATAACTGTGTATTAAGACACAAAGACTTTGCTTTGCACTGTAGATTATAGCATGATTTGCATTTGTTTAATTAGTGATAGTTGATACCACCAGATAGGTAGTTGCTGATTTACACAAAATGAATGTTTTAAGTCAGTCCAGCAGGTGCTACGTATCAGCAAAATTTTGCTTTAAGCCTGCCATATAGTGATATAAAATTCTGGTTTAATTTTTAAAAAAATAATTTCCCATAAATGGAAATGTTTGGACTATGACAGACAAAACAAACCAAATAATTTTCAAATATCTGATTTGCAGACAAAAAATTTCCATGGAAGTTTGGTTAATCCCAACCTGTATAGTGGCACTTGTGCCCCCCTAGTCCCACTGAAAAATAACAATATTATAACTATTTTTTATTCTGGTTTATATTTTTTATCTTTAGCGATTCTTTTTGGCTGCAGAATAACTGCTTATGCAGACTTGATATCTCAAACTTGAAGCCCCCATCTTCAGGTGCTGGGTTGCTGAAGGATCTCCCCTCACTCTGCAAAGACTTCCAAGGCTCTAATGGGAGTCTATAATCCCCTGTGTATGTGAGATGAACACGAATGAATTTACCACAGTTAGACATACCCACATTCAGTCTTTTTGGTTTCAAAATAGCTGTGTGTCTCCTCTATGCCTTTAGACTTGCCTTAGAGACAACACAGTAATTTGCAGAAGCAGGATCATGCATTTGGTCGCTCATATAATGCCATTGACTTCAGTGGAGTTAAAGAATGAATGAAATGAATGAATGAGAGAAAGTTTAGGTCCCTTGCCAATGAACAGAGAGCAGTCCTCTCTATACTTCCCTGCTGGGTGCCTTCTCTACACTGGAAAGAGAAGTTAGGCAGGGAGGACTTAATGTGAAGGTGGATGTGTACGTCCAGGAATTATCTAGTTTTTCTGTGATATCTCTTGTCATTTTAAGCTAAATTAGTAATGAACCTTACTAAGTTTAACTTGCTAAAAAGAACTAAACCAACTTTAATAGTTCTGGGAGACCTCTGTGGGAGGCATGGAGTTGGCAGGTTGTTCAAATAGTCTGTTTGAAAAAGGATTCTGATACAGCAGCAGCAGCGGGTAATGTTATCAGAAATTCTTAAAATGCATTAAAAGACATTAGCCTTGGAATTACATTGTGTTTCCTGAGGTGATTCTCACAACTGGTGAGAGATTTTGATGATCATCTACCTCAAGCTGGGGCTGACCAAAACCTGGCACAAGTGGGGAAAATAAGCTGTAGACTTCAGAAAGGCCTTTCTAAAGGCCTCCCTTGTGGGAGCCTTACGAGAGGCCAGAGTTGTACAGCTACTACCCAGGAGAGTATATATGCGCTTTGAGCAGTCCTGTTAAAGTTATTGGGCCTACTTAGAACCTTAGCTGTTCTTCTAAATCAACATTTTTAATGGTGACAGTGGAAGAATAGCTTTAAGCCATAGATCTATTTTAGTTTTTAAACTACTGTGTAACCAAAAAAGAGAGTCAGTCCCCTTACTAATTTTATCACTTGTGTTCGGTCACCCCACTGTCTCCTGTGTTCTGATGACACAGGAAGAGTAAGTCCTTCTTTCACCTCTGTATCTGGTGTCCTGGGATCACCTTTGTTGCCCTATGCTTCAGCATCCCCAGGGTAAAAATATATGATGAAAGGTAAGTTGTCTTTCAGAGGGAAGTCTAAATTCTATCTATGAAGAAAAAATTAGCTTGTGGGTTCATATACTATTCATTTGTTAATGCCCCTGCTCTCCACTTACTGCTTTAGCTGAAAACTGTAGTGATTTCTAATCTAACTCCAAAGGAGCTTTCTTCTCAACGTGGGGGATGACTGATCATATATTCCCTAATATTCCTAAACTTAGTAACTTATAACTTTGGAGTGAAATTTTAACTGTTTTTTTTATTTTTATTTTTGTATGAAGA